GAATTTTAGATTTTAATTTGAATTTGTAAATGTGGCAACACTGTTGTAGCCCCGGCTTCTTCAAAGCAATGATGTAACTCAAATAATCAAAACCAAAATAAGTCGACTTTGTTTGGATTGTGATTTTAGTACAAAAATATGCTTAAAAGCATTTTCGACATAATTTTATGGTTTCTCGGCGTGTTTTTGTCTTAATTTTGCTCAAAAATCAGTTAAATCGCGTGAAACAAGCAAAATAAAATTAATATCAATTCTTTTTGTGAATTTTAGGGGTGTTTGGGCAAAATAAAGAGTCTGTGGTCAGAAAACGAAATAATTCGAGAGCAAAAAGCAAAAAAAAAATCAATTTCGATTTAATTTTGCAGTTCTTTAAACGAAAATGTTCGAATTTTTTGTTTTTATCTCGAAAAAGGCAACAGTAACATCGTTTTGGCCTGTTTCTAGCTAAAAAATTGTTATTTTCAACCCTTAGTTAAATCTTTAAAAAAAATAGAACTATTTTTAACCCATTTGGTGGTTTTTCAATTTTTCGAGAAAAATTGGCGAAATAATCAAGTTTCTAGTCAAAAAACGTGAAAAATACTCAAAAAAGACTTTTTCCAAAGACTTTATATTTCAAAATTTTGGAATCATAGAATTTAAGATTCAAATAATTTTTTTCAAATTTCAAACTTCAAATAAATTTTTGATTTTCAGAATCTTTCAACATGGAACAAAATTTTCAAATTCCCGGAATCTTAAGAATTTTAAACCTAAGAATCTAATTGTGACCTGAATTTCTGGATCTTTAAAAACTTTGAGGTTTTGGTATTTCGAAAATTTGAAATTTTAGATTTTCAGAGCTTGAAATAAATCTTAGGACTCAAACCCCGAATTTTAGATTTTAATTTGAAATGGTAAAAGTGGCAACACTGTTGTAGCCCCGGCTTCTTCAAAGCAATGATGTAACTCAAATAATCAAAATCAAAATAAGTCGACTTTGTTTGGATTACAAAAATGTGCTTAAAAGCATTTTTGACATAATTTTATGGTTTTTCAGCTAAATCGCAAAATAAAATTAAAATCAATTCTTTTTGTGATTTCTAGGAGTCTTTGAGCAAGATTTTGCTAAATAAATGAGTCTGTGGTCCAAAAACCAAATAATTCGAGAGGAAAACGTAAAAAAAAAACAATTTCGATTTAATTTTGCAGTTCTTTAAACGAAAATGTTCGAATTTTTTATTTTTATCTCAAAAAAGACAACAATAGCATCGTTCTGGCCTATTTTGTTGAATTTTTGTCGTGTTTTCAGCTAAAAAATTGTCATTTTCAACTCTTAGTTAAATCTTAAAAAAATAGGATTATTTTTAACCCATTTGGTGGTTTGACGAAAATAATCAAGTTTCTAGTCAAAAAACGTAAAAAATAGTCAAAAAAGATTTTTTCCAGTCTTTATTTCAAAATTTTGGAATCATAGAATCTTTAAAAACATGGAACAAAATTTTCAAATTCCGGAATCTTGAGAATTTGAAACCTAAGAATCTAATTTTGACGTTAGAATCTTCTGGATTTCTGAATTTTTAAAATCTTTGAGGTTTTGGTATTTCGAAAATTTAAAATTTTAGAGTTTCAGAGCTTGAAGAATAGTCTTTTTTTTAATAAATTTCAGGACACAAACCCCGAATTTTAGATTTAAATAATTTGAAATGGTAAAAGTGGCAACACTGTTGTAGCCCCGGCTTCTTCAAAGCAATGACGTAACTCAAATAATCAAAATCAAAATAAGACGACTTTGTTTGGATTGATAAATTTATTTACTCCGATTTGAGTTTATTTTTAAATTTATAGTTTTGACGTAAATCTTGACGTTTTAAACAATGCCTCGATCTCATATTACAGTTTCTCAAAATTTTTATTTTATTAAATTTAGATTAACAATTTAATTGGCCATCAATTCGAATTATTGTCAGCTTAATAATTGATTATTAGAAGGGCAATATTTCAAAATTATCAATAATTGAAACGMAATCTGGTCATCAAAATGCAATTTGACGATGATTTTCGCAGCCAAGTGTTAAATTGTCGACTTGTGCAACTTTTSTAAGCAAATACCGTCGACACATATCTTCTTTGTGTGTCTAAATATGGCCATAATATCCTCTTAACTTCAATTAAGTCAAGTCATATGCATCGTATCTTTAATCGCTTCTCATTTATTTCACTCGAGAATTCCAAAACAAGCCATTAAGTAGCRCTTTTTCCCTTGCTTAAAATAACAAAAGAGCGCTTCGAGTARGGGGAAAGAAACACAAAGCTTGTGCCTCCCCCCGTTTCGAGTTTTCTGTGCGCCCCCTTCAGAACAAACCGGCGAGGCTGCACATGTGAGCTTTTCGCGGAATTTCTCACAGAAAGTGGGGCTTTGGAGGGTTCAAAAATCGGTTTTTTACCTCTTTGGAGGTCGAGGAGGAGTAGTGAAGTGACTAACCCTTTGATGGTGATGACACAAACACTACACTAGAGCGCGTTTACTACCCTCTCATCTCATACTATGCTCGTGGACTGTCAGTTTTTGGAKGCACAATTGCTCATTTGCCCCTCCTAACAGCTGGTTTTCGATCTGGGAGTGAGATGAGGTGGTGGGGCGACATCTAGTGGAGAGTAGATGGTGTTGTGTGGAGGAAATACAGGTTACGGTGTGTAGAGTTCGAGGCATAGGAGTTGGATTACAGATTGAGGATTATTTTGTAGGAAATGTTGAGTTTGGACAAAAGATGGCTCGAGTGATAACAATCGGGTTTTTTGTACTAGGATGCAAAAGTGCATAAATATTGTCAAATCGAGTCAAAAAATGAAGAAAATACAGGAAAAAAACACGAATTTTTGATTTAAATTAAAAAAAAATAGAATGAATAAAGTTTTGAAAAGAAAAAGATAAGAAAGGAAGAAAAAACTTGAAGATTTGGGAAAACTTTAAAAATATAAAGATTACGAAAAGTAAATAAAAAAATACAATTATGGTTGTAAAAAATATGGAGCTATAAAATAGTTATTTATCATACAAGACGATAAAGAAATTAATTAATTAATTAATTAATAATTTTCATTCGTGTATAATGTTTCGTTTTATTTTGTACTCATCTACTAGAATTTCTTGAATATAAACAGTAGATAAAAATCACTTTATTTCACTAGACGATAAAAGACTATTTTATATACTTAATTAATTAATAAAATCACTCTTTAACATTGAGTACAATATAAAATAAATAAAAAATCATTGAAAAATTTAACAAATAGAAATTATAAAAACTGATAAAAATACAATTTTTTGGAAAAACGTAATACGGAAATAATATTGAGGAGAGAAACAGGAAACAAAAATTTAATTTTAAACTAAAATAAAGCAAAAAAATGAAAGACACTAAAACTGGTGAAAATAATACAAATTAAAATTTAAACTAGAACTTTCTTTTAAAAATTTTGTCGTTTTTCTCAATTATTGTCCCTGATTTTGTCAATTTTTGTATAAAATCTTTTAAAGTAATTTATTAGAGATGATTGACGTCCTTGAAATTTGCTCAATGTTGTCAACCAAAAAAAAAATAAAATTCACTAAATACAAGTTGAAAATTTTGCCAAATTTACACCGATTTTCACCCTAAAAGTTAGATAAAATTGTAATTTTATTACAATTCAGTGGCAAAAAACCGGAGTTTGAGCTTCAAAACTCTCTAAAAAGGCAAAATTGACTTCACTTTCGGTTTATTTCTGTAATTTTTTGTCTTATTTTTAACACAATTTTGCAAAAAAATTGCGTTTCTAACTGGAAAACGTGCTAAAAGTCTTTTGAAATGCAAAAATTATACACTTTTTGTTAACTTAATTAACTTAAAGAACTTAATTGTTGTTTTTTTGGTTTTGGTCTCGAGAAAAATTGCGGTTTTAGTACAAAAACGTGTTTAAAAACATTTTTGACATAATTTTGTGTTTTTTTTTGACTTATTTTTGTCTTAGTTTTGCTCAAAACCAGTTAAATTAAGTGAAACAAATAAAATAACACGAAAACCAGTTTTTTATGATTTTTGGGCGTGTTTGGACAAGAATTTTGCAAAGTAAATGAGTCTTTGGTTCAAAAACAAAGAAAATAGAACGAAACAAGCTAAAAATAATATCAATTCCTATTTTATTTTGTAATTTTTTAGAAAAAAATTTTGAAATTTTTTTGTTTTTATCTCAAAAACATGCTTAAAACAAACGACTAAGGCAAAAATAACACTTTTTGCCTATTTTGTGGAATTTTTCGCTTGTTTTTAACGAAATTTCGAGCTGAAAAATGTACCCACTGAAACATTCGAAAAAGCTAAAAGTAAATTGTCATTTTCGACTTTGTTTAAGAATTTTTTTAAAGAAAAAATAATCAAATTTCTGCTTGAAAAACGTGGATGATGCTCCAAAAAGATACAAAAATGGTATTATTTTATTTTTGATCTAATTTACCATATCAATAATTGAAAAATGAGTATCTAGTTTTTTTAAATTCCAAAAAGTCACCGATATAAGAATTTTTACAAAAGTTATTACTAAACCACCAGCTTTTACTAAAACAGTTAAATCGAGTGAAACAAACTAAAAAACATCAAAATCAATTCTTTCTGTGATTTATAGGTGTGTTTGGGTAAAATTTTCTCAGAATAAATGAGTCAAAATAAATCGAGAAGAAAAAGCTAAAAAAATATATAATTTTTTAGCCTCTTTAAACGAAAATGTTCAAATTTTCTGTTTTTATCTCAAAAAAGTGCTTAAAGACTCGAAAAAAGGCAAAAAACATTGCTTTTGGCCTATTCTCAAATCGAGTCAAAGTAATAGTTTTTTTTACTTTTACAAAAATTACATGCATCATATCAAAAATTTCAACTTAAACTTGAAAAAAAAATGTATCTACAACTTCAAAAACTTTAATAAACATTAAATTTAACATTAAAAAAAAACAGTCCAAATCAAAATAAAGAGTCTATTATTTTATTACGAGCAAAAGTGATGGTTTATGTGACAAAATTGAACGTAGTGAGGCAAATAATTGAGCTGATTACTATTTTAACCCCAAACGTAATCAGATTATCAAGAATTATCAAGTAAATGAACAAAAAATAATTAGGTCGCTCTGCAAATAATCAGTGCAGTTAGTAGTGCAAGTGGAACTCTGAATGCAGAAATTACTGAAAAAAAGAAAGAAACAACATTGGTATTTTAGTCATGGTAAAAGTTAAAACGCTTAAGCACAAAAATAGAATTTTTACTTCATGGCATTACTTGTGACATAGTCATAAAAATGGCCACTTTTGTGACGTTTACGAACAAAATATACGTCCCAATGCAAATTTTAGAAGGGTTTCTAAAAAACCGCATTTAAATTCGCAAATTTTGACAAATCAGAGACACTGGCCGGGGGTATGGTGGCGCTGTTTAAAAGTATGACGCCACATGTATACATTCCTCAATTTAGAGACTCAAAAAGTGCTTACAATCTTGAAAAAAATCAATAGATTGAATCGATTTATAAAATATTTGCATACATATTTTTTGTGGCATAAATAGATTTTTTTAGTTAATTTGTTTTTTGTCCACTTGAATATTATACAACGTGTTTCAAAATGATGTTCTGTCAACAATGACAGCTGTCATTTGAAATAAATTTTGAGGTTATAGGCGACTAGATGAAAATCATTTCGAGACACATTGTATTTCTGACAGGTATAATAGCGAAAAAATAGATGAAAGCACGTCCCGGATTCCCTTAATAAAGGCCTTAAGAGTATTGGAAGGAGGTGGAGGGCAACCCTTCCTGCGGCAAATTAGATGAACGCAGTAGATGAGCGCCAAATCTAGTTAGCTGGATTGACTGACTTGCACTCTGCATTTTATAAATTCGCCACTCGTCAAATATGTCTCAATTTTCCGATTAAATTTGGATAATGTTGTGCATTGCAATTAAAATTAGTGCAGAATGCGTGGTGGTAATACCCGGATCCGTAAACACAACACGTAAATTTATATTCCTCTCTCTGGGATTACCTCCAAATAGATCATAAAGTGTATTAAAGCAGATTTTCCCTATGCACACACACCTTGATTTCATAAACGACATACCAAACTCGTTTTTAGGGAGTTGAAGAATGAGGAATTCTCTCCCTCGTGAAATATTACATAAAATGCAAGATAAACTCGAGAGACTATATTAAAAATTTCTCGTAACGCAAAAAAATGTCTTAATTATGTTTTAAAGAGACATACTTTGACATCATTTCTGAGGATACAGAGTGTGCCAGGGAAAAGTTCTAAAAAAAAATTGACATATGACATTTTTTATGTCTATTTAATGATCATGTATATGTGTTTTTATAATTGCCGATTTGTCAAAATTTACAAAATTTTTGAACACCCTTTTTTTTTCTCCATTCGACATTTTGCACTACCAACTGCACTACTTAAATTAGATTTCATTATTTGCAGAGCGACCTGATTATTTTTTGTTCATTTACTTGCCAAGTGTTGCTCTTTTATCTCGATTTGAGTACGTTTACGGTTAAAATAGTGTAAGTCAGCTCAATTATTTGCCTCACTACGTTTAGATTCGTCACATAAACTGTCACTTTTGCTCCTAATAAAATAATATTAGACTGTTTTTTAATGTTAAATCTAACGTCCATTAAAGTTTGGCATTTCTGAAGTTGTAGATACATTTTTTTTTCAAGTTTAACTTCAAATTTATAAAAAATGTAATTTTTGTGAAAGTAAAAGACTACTACTTTGACTCGGTTTGACAATAGGCCAAAAGCGATGTTTTTTGCTTTTTTGAAATAAAAACAAAAAATTTCAACATTTTCGTTTAAAAAGGCTAAAAGAAATGTTTTTTTAGCTTTTTCTTCTCGAACTATTTCGTTTTTGAACCACAGACTCATTCATTTTGCAAAATCTTGCCCAAACACGCCTAAAAAAATCATTTTGATGTTATTTTTATTGTTTCACTCGATTTAACTGGTTTAGTAAAAACTGGTGGTTTAGTAATAATTTTTGTAAAAATTCTTATATCTGTGATTTTTTGGAAATTTTTCTATTATTGATAG